AGGAGGAGGATGAGGAGGAGGAGGAGGGATGTGTCAGCGGCCCCTGTGTCACCTGCATATCCCTGTGTCACCTCCACCCCCGACATACCTCCTCAGCTGCGAGGCCCCGCAGAGCTTGGCTTTTATGTAAGCGCGCTGTTCTTTTAAATGCAAACCTGCGAATAGAAAAAAAAATCTGCAGTTTCTGAATCCGAGCTGGCCTGTTGCGTAGGAAAAACTGGGCTAAGTTGGCTGTGTTGGCCCCTGTGTCACCTGCATATCCCTGTGTCACCTCCACCCCCGACATACCTCCTCAGCTGCGAGGCCCCGCAGAGCTTGGCTTTTATGTAAGCGCGCTGTTCTTTTAAATGCAAACCTGCGAATAGAAAAAAAAATCTGCAGTTTCTGAATCCGAGCTGGCCTGTTGCGTAGGAAAAACTGGGCTAAGTTGGCTGTGTTTTTCTTCACTTCCTGTTTCTCAGCCTTCATTTCTCGTGTTTTAGGACTTTTTGCAGGCAGGTTAAAGCCTCTTGCCACTTCCGGTTTTCAGTTTACACTTAAACCTTTTATTAGTTTGTAGGGGATCCATGGGCACTTTTTGTTATTCGTAAGAGCATAAAACCTTCTGGGAAGTCCTGCCATTATTACCTTGCTAAAACACTTCTGCAACTTGTGCTCTCCGTCTGTGGGAGTGAACTGTCCACTTCATTTGTAGGGATAGTCCTCAAATTAAGTAGGATTTGTACTGCATTTCAGAGCTGCATTCAGATTTTTATGCAGTATGCCGAAATATCAGAAAGCCTCTGAGTTCAGTGTTTTGCAAGAATGGGTCCTTAGTGATAATTTAGAGGTGAGGTGATTTGGAGTGATAGATGACAGGACATCTTATAAAACTCTCTTTGTGAGCTCACGTGTTATTGCAAGGTTTTTTTTTATTATTAGAAAATATTCTAATAAAATTTGGTCTACCAATGTAGATTTCTTAATTTTGCTTTAAAATGCATTTTCTTGTTTCCTAGGGAAAGCACCCTAAGTCCATTCTTCTCATAAGTAGCATCATTTGTCAGCTGTTTTAATCTTTAGGAATAGAGATTAACAGGGTATTGAACTAAACTATGAAGAATACAGACTTTCTTGCATAAAGCGGGCATTCTGTGACTCTACTACTTACTTTCATTGATACTGCCTAGGGTACTTGTTACTTCCTTCTGCAAAACAGTTCAGCAGTTTTCACAGGTCTTAAGAAAGCGTCAAGTTGTTTCCCTCTTCCTTCCCTCTTCTTCCTTAAGGATTTATTTTATTTTATTTTATTATTATTTTTTGCAGGCAGACATAAAGGTCTTACTATGACTAAGCAGTATTGGCGACCTGTAGATTTTAGGTCCTTCAGGGAAAGACAAGAAAAGGAGCACCGGTCGGCAGCCTCCCTTCTATGTTCATCACAGTGAGATCTATTTTCAACACAATCATAAATGCCAATTTCTAGAAAACCAAAGAACAGGATCAGGAAGAAATTCACCATTCTGACTTGCTGCACAGCAGAAATAGTTCTACTACTCGTTCTATTATAGAAATAGTATATTAATTTTAGAGTTTTATTGGGAGTGGAAGGCAGTACGAGTCGAGAAGTGGCTATTCATGTTTATTTCAAGAGTTCAAGTGTAGCTAGAGTAGCAACCATTGCAGACAACATTTGTAAAGATAGCACCACTGATGGTACTACTGATGCAAAATTGTCTGCATATCTCAAGTAGAGTGTATTCAGTTTCTTCCGAGCTGTTTTATTAGGGAGAATGAGGAGAAGTAACCTTTGTAGTGCTAAAGAGGCTTTTGGAGAGAGTTTAGACAAATAAACTTCTGTTATTCACACTCATCCATAACAAAATCTTTGTTTTGAGAGTACTGTAGTCACATAAAATGCTGCTGTTTACAGTCATGCACCTTGAAAATTGTTCTTGTCAGATAACTTTAGCTAAACAGAACCAGGTCTGTTTGATACTTGAATGATAGTACAGTACTTGACACCTATGGCAATCTGTTTCCAAGGACTTTAGCATGGTTTAGAAGCGCTAATAAATTAAGCTTCACAATGCCTGTGAGAGAGAAAATATTTCAATTTACTGATGGCGTGAGGTAATTGAGAGGCAGGAAGGGTGAAGGTGAGTTTTGATGTAAGTGTCAAATTCAGGAATCTCCTGACTCTAGTTCTGTGCTGAACTGAAAGACCATTCTTTTCCTCTGGATTCTGAGATCCTGGATGAAAAAGCAACAGAGTTGCAAAAAACTCTGTAGATGGCTCAGCAGGTGACCCTCATAGCGCTTCCTACATTTGTCGCAACGGGATAATGTGAGAGAGAGGAGGGAAGTGATTTCTTCCTGTTTCAAGATCACATGGACTGAATTTGTGTTTTTAAAATAGAGAATACAAGTGGTACTGTCTTCTGGAGAAGTGGATGACTTTATTCGAGCTGCGGAAAGTAAAGTACACGGCTACATCATGTTGGTTTATAAGTTTCTTGACAAACCACTCATTTGCTAGATCATAAGTTGAAGCACACATGAAATGACAGAATTTGTACTAAAAAGTTGTTGCTTTTTCAGTCTTAAACTTTTTTTTTTTTTCCTCTTAAAGCTGCAGGTACTTCTGACTTCAAACAGTGAAGTGATTTATCTAAATAAATGTGATCCGTGCCTGTTGATCAAGTAATTCCATAGATAACAGCTTTTTTGCAAAAGAGTGAGTGCCTCGTCTCATGCGTGCTGCCCTTTGAAAGCGATCAGTGTTTGGCACCTATGGCCTACTGATAGTTTGACCAACTTGTGAGTAGGCACAGTGCCATCTTAACAGATGGGTATGAATAGAGACAGCCAAGAAACCATGTATGTGTATCTAGCGTATTTGTTAAGGGCAGGGTTCCCAGCTGGGGACATTCAAACTTATGTCCATTTTGAATTTTTGCTTTTGCGGATAAAGGGATATCTCACTTTTATTAATATTATTATTAAATATCTTCAGGCATATAATTATTGGCCTTTATTAACAAGAAAAAAAAGGTGTGGGAAGAGACACCAGATCCTTTTTTAATACTTTTGTGGTGATATTTTAAGTAAACTTGTTTCCCTTTTAAGCACACTTGCCATCAACAGACTAAGAATGGCAAAGATGTGAAATTTATCTGTAGTTTTGTTTTACTGGCTTGCTAATTTTATTCACAAAACAACTACTAATTTTACTCTTCTTGTTTGCTGCTTTGCAGGCATGTTTTTTATGTAAGACAAAGCTCAGTTGGCTCGTTATATCACATTTTCAGGATTTTTTATAGTATTATGCAACCAAAATGGACACAGAAGCTGCAGAGTGTTGTAGCACCAGACTCAGTTCACAGAGCTCTATTCAAGAATATAGGAGAGGGTACAGTGAATTACTTAAAACCAAAACCATTTCAGTGCCTATCACTCTCATGCCAGCCTGCCTGCAAGCACCCATGCACTGTCCAAGGGGTCTGCCCACCCAGAGTTCAAGCACTTTAGTGCATCTGTCCGAGTGGTCTGGCCAGGATTATCTTCAGTAACGTGGAGGTCGAGCAGTACCGGCTCTCGAGTCTTTGTCACGTCCATACGCTCATTCAGACTCATTTTTGTAACTTTTAGAAGCTGATGGACATAACTATATCTGGACTTACTGTAATCCACTAGATTGCTGTAACTGGAGTTATACTTACATATGAGGTTGTGGAGTCTCCTTCTCTGGAGATCTTCCAAACCCACTTGGATGCAGTCCTGTGCCACGTGCTCTAGGTGACCCTGTGTGTGCAGGGTGGTTGGACTAGATGATCTCTAGAGGTCCCTTCCAACCTTAAGCATTCTATGATTCTATGATTCTATGGTGATTGTGATTTTTTGTGCTTCCATCCTGTCCCCATTTCTGAGTCACTGATGATCTTTGTACTGTGTTGAGTGCAGTCAGCCTTAGTCTTAGTGCTCCAGGCTTTTTGCTTGTCTTCCTGCCACCACCATCTCTAGTGACTTCAGGTGATGGCTGTTTTAGTTTATCCTTACCCAGAAGGTCTGGGTGCCCTGAGAAGCTGCTTACAGGTGTGCTGTGATCCCGATGGCTTGCTATTCTAAGTGATATCAACACTGCCAGTCCTGCCATGCTTTGTTCCTTCTGGTGCTTCCATGTCATTATGATCACATTTGCACCATCTGAGCTGACTAACTGAAATTCCATTTGGTACTTGGAACTGTAATTTCTTTCCTGTCAAAAGTTTGGAGGAAGAACCTTCCTCTGAGACTGTGTAGTACATTTTACCTTGAAGACAAAAAGAAAGACATGTGAGTTCTTTGAAGACAGAGTGAAAGCTGTGGGTGCAGTTAGCCTTTTTAAGAATGTCAGAATTGTATCTTGGTTAAGACGTCTTGTTTTGTGAAAATGAGGAAGCTTGTGCCGTGTAGTTTTGAATAATTACTAGTTTCGTTCTGTAATGTTCGTACTTCATAATATTCTTTGTTGCAATTATTCATTTAGCCACCATCAGTAATTAGGGGCGGTTTTGTGGCATTAAGATGTGATGGTTCTGTGTGGTGCTGTAAATTCTTGAAGATGCCACGCAGAAAAGGGGTCTATGGAGTGTTTTTGGAACTGCTGTCACTATTGCATGATTTCCTGTTTGTCTGGGAAATGAATTCCTGGAACATTAAAACAAAAAGAAGAAAATTGACATTAAATAACTGTGTTTGACTTAGTTATTCTATCCAGTAACTGATGAGGGGGGCAGGGTGGAAGATACTTTGCTATCCAGAAGATTCCTCAATTGTGTATTATTTTTATTAATATTCCCTATTCTTTCCCAGGAAAAACAAGCAACATCACCCCCCAAACACACCAGTCAGACCTAATATCCTTTAGAAAGTAACTTTCATCTTCATAAGGTAGACAAAGAGATCAGCTCTTTGAAAAATCCTCAAGTTCTTCATATGCAGAGATTTTTACCGTGTCATGGCCAAGTCTTTAGTAAGTTCCCCTATTAACTGAAAATCTGGCTCAAATGTGAAAAAGAAAAAGAACCTTATGTAATGCAAGTGAGGATTGTTATGGAGAAAGACATGCATGTTTGGTTGTGGACAGACGTTATATTATTTGCAAAAACGTTCTTGATATTGGACCTGAGTTTGGCATGAATAATACTTTCACGTTATGATCCTAAAATGGATGGTTATGTGCTAATATGTTAATCATCTACTAAATGTTGTCTTGAGAATAATAAGCAGACTTTTAGTTTTGTTGGTTGTATTTCTATAAGGGGAAAAATTAATTAAGTTTGAATAATATAATATTTTTGTGGCATTTTGACAGCTAATAGGAATCACTGAGAAATGTTGACATTTACTTTCTCATTTCTTGGTGTAACCATTAATACCTTTACTTGCTTTTATTTAAGTCTTGGAGTATAAATTGGACTTGGAAATTTAAAAACTAAGAAAAATTTACTCCTAGAAGACTGATGAGCTTTCATTAGTTTACTCTTTGTTGAATGTAGAACTGTGATTGCTGTGATTGATTGACAACAATAGATTTTGAGATTTTTGTGATGTGTATTATAAGACTTATAATAGATTTCTTTTGTGAAGTTTTTTTCTTTCAGTTTTTTTATGCCTGAAAATTACTTGTTTTTCACTTAGAATTCATGCAAATGAAATGATTTATGATTTTTAAAGTATTTTAGTAATAACAAGTTAAAAATTAAATCATGTGTTATATAGAAGTTTGTCAAAAGTGAGCATGGAAAAAATGACATATGAAATAGCATACTTAATATATAACCGTTTTTTTTTTTAATTATAATTATTCCTGTAGCCCCAAGTAAAAATGCCATATATGAAGAAGACTTCTGGAAAAAGAGGTCCGGCAAAGAGGAAACTTGCTGAAGAGTTTCCTGTAGGAGAGATTCTAGCAGATACAAGCAAAAAAGAATGGAAATTAGGTGTCCCTATAGGACAAGGAGGCTTTGGACGCCTCTATCTTGGTAAGTTTGTTTGTTGTTGGTAATATTTTGAGATGGAGAGTGAAATGTTTGTCATTGTTCAAAGTGATGAAAAATTGAGCCAAAGTTAAGAGTTAGTTGGAAAATCTTCAGTTGCTCTGTTTGAATAGAACTATAATTTCATCTGAGCAGCATTTGACTAATGCTCATTGAAAACAATGGCTGCATGAGGTTGCAGTTATCAATATGATGTTTCAGAGTGGTAGTTCGTTTTGGTTAAGTCTTTGTGCTTTGCAAACCATACTCTTTCTTTGTAATATTTTTAAATGTTTGTAGACAGATTTTGTAATTCTAATATTCTTGCATAATTGCTTTTATTTCTCAATCATTCATTTCTAAAGTTAATTGTGAAAGATGGCTGATATTGAGAGCAATGGGATTGGTATGTCCCTGTGTTGCCTTGGTGGTGTTTCAGTTCTGATTTTCATTGACCTCTGGTTGAGGGCGAAAGGATAATTCAGTACTTATTTAAATTTCTTCTTTGGTATGTCTGAAATAAGAAATATTTGCATGAGTATCCTTATCTCACAAATTCTGAATGACAGTGTCTAAACACATTTTATGCAGGCTATTGATCAGCCATCAAAGAACAGCTGTTGACTTCCGTGCTGTTTTTGACTTTTATTGCGTTCTGAACTTCTGATATAAGTCATAAACTTTATTACGCAACCAGTATTTATAACAGATTGAAATTTTGGACTCACAGAAGCACAGATCTTGCTTTGTGACAGTGTGCATTGAATTTAATGAAAACTTTTAATGCATCGATTTTCATACTTAAAATCAGAATAGTTGTTTTTTGAACAAATGAACAAAGACAGGAAAGACTTTGAGAATACAACGGAGTATCAAAGGGAATTTTTGCTGTAACCCTAGTAATTTTCCAAATAGCCTTGAAGGGATGAAATTTAAGGTAACCATGTTAATAAAGGTATTTTTACAAAATACGTATAATCTTTCTCCCTGGATGAGACAATATGCATTTCATGCAACTGTGTTCGTGTTTTTTTTTTTTTTTTTAATCAATTCCAAATACACTTCCTATGCTTACAGCATAATGGGTTAAGAATCATTTTGAGCAAAGGCTCAGGACCAGTGGGCTACTTCTTGCCAAAGCATCCTTCTACTATTTGCTCAGTTTTGCTCACTGAGTTTCTATATATGCTGCATCTGGAGTTTGATCTCACTCAAATTGTTGTCATTCTTCATGTTAAAAATTTCTGCTTTGTTCAAGCCAAAGCTTGCCCTCTCCAAGGCTGTGCCATGCCCCGACTCCTTGCACACTTAGTGCTTGCCTGATTTGGTGTCTTCTGTATTTGTATCACCTGTGACAGCCATCAAGAGCTTAGCACCAACAGAAAGCCACTTTGAAATACACGACATAACAAAATAGTAGAGAGGATCTTGCTTCTCTACATTCATTAGTCTTTAGAGATGAAAAAAGTGTTATTGTCTAGAAAAAAAAAAAAGATATTGAATAATGAAAAGTAGCTAGTGAACTTTCCATTCTTGAACGGAAGGGGGAATGTGAGGCCACATCAACACTGAGTAGGCTTGCAATATAGAATATTTGTCTTACCTTGGCATAACATGCTGATATTCATGTTCATTTCAGTGCTTAATTGCTCTGTCATTTGGAATCCATGCTGCATAGCAAGAAAATGTATGTTTTGTAATAGTTTACTTTCATGCTACTAATAAACACTTACTTTTTAACAGCTGATGTTAATTCTTCAAAGTCGGTTGGCAGTGATGCACCTTATGTTGTAAAAGTGGTAAGAGAACATTTGAATCTTTATTTCAGAATTTGAAAACGCTTGTTCTAGAATAGCATATGTAATTTAAATCATCCTCTCACTAAAAATAATGCAGTTATATAATGTATATTTTGTCAAAGTGTGCTCTGAAAATTGGTGTGGTGCTTTGGGGAAACCGCTGAGAATTGAGACCCTGGTGCACGAAGGTGAATGCTGGCCTGTTGGTGGTGTTGAAAAAAAATTTAAATGGTTCAAATTCTGTTTCATTTGTTCTTGGCTGTAAACAACCCAAACAAAATCAATGTAGTCTAGATATCTTTTGAGGAATTTCTCTAACTCAACAGTGAGTCCATGCGAAATGTTGTTTGCCACTGGATGTCGGCTGACAGATGGCCTGGGAGTTGAAACTGCAAAACTTTGATTCCCAAGGTCTCGACAGATATAAAGTCATTTAAATGTTTTATCATAAAACACACACATGTCTAATTTCTACTGAGTAGAAATGGTATTGACATGTATGTTTTTAATCTAATGATTAGATAGAAGAAAAAGCCTTTTTAAATTTTATTTTCTACCTGACTGCAGTATAGCAGTGAGATCTTTTTATTAGTCAAATAACTTTTAAAATTTAAAACAAATTAACATGAACTGGGTAAAAAAAATATTATTAAGGTAAATTTATAAAATTATTTTTCTAAAATTTTGCTTAATTTGCTTGATTTTTTTTCCTTTTTTAAGAGAGGGAAACGACTATGATCCAGGCTATTAATTATATTGATACTTTTTCTATTTTTATGGCAAAAGCAGGTAGCATAAAACTTTCCAAGGACTTCAGAATGTAGGATATTAGTTTTTCTGCACAGTTCAGAAGCATTAAGGTTTCATCTTTTGGTTATTAAAACAATAGCAATGGTGTGTAGCATTGACCTAATAGTTTGCTGCTTATATATATATATATAGATAGATAGATATTCTTAACATTTTTTCCCCCCAGACTAAAAGATCAGATTAATTTGGAGTGGAAATCAGTTTAGTTAGTATGTGTGTGTTAGTATGTGCCTAGTTATTATTTAGTTCCTTGCTGCAAGGAAATTCTAGAATATTGTTTTTTATACTACATTAATAGAAAAAAAAAAACTTTTAGTGATGACCCTCTTCTGGAAATGCCGCTTGCTGCAAAAACCCCGTGCTGTTCAGCATCATCACAGTGCTGCCTTAGGTGTGTGTGGCAGCAGCTCTACAAAGACCAGGAGCTGCAGCCCGTAGTTTTTGCATGGTGGCAATGCCCAACCTGCCCCGTCTGAGCTGGGTGGGGATGAGGGCTGTTTTCCTGCAGGACCTGTGGTCTCTTTTAGTAGCAAATAACAGATACTCAGGTTATCATGCTGCTTCATAAATTCAGACTGACTAGGAAGCAGAATCCTTTGACTTTCATGGAAGAATCCAACTTAATTTCTTTGGAATAGTGTCAGATACACGCTATTTCACTGCTGTGCACAGTTGTCATCCTCTCTCCTCCAGCTTCTAACTGGCCCTCTTCCTGTTCACTTCCTTCTGCTTTCCTCCGCTTCGGGCTCTGGTTGTAAGATTTGTTGTAACATCTGATTGTTTTTATGTGAGATTCACGATGTTACAGCAATTTGTAAATACCCCATTGCAAATCTCCCTCATGAATACGCTTTCACTTTGTTTTATGTGATTCTGAGTTTATGGCAATAAAGGGTAGCCCAGTTGTTGTGCTGCCGTCACAAATGATCCATAATGTTCCATGCCTCTACAGCCCAGTATAATGCTACTACAAATAAGAGCCTATTTTCTGATGCTCTGGGTGATTCCTAGTTGATCCATCAGCTGAAGCAAAGTGGTTAACAGCTTTGAACAGTTATTAGTGTTTAACAAAATATGTGCTCGGATCATAATGCTCTTCAAATTAAGCTATTAAACCGGGATGGAAATTGGCTTAGTTTTTGACATATCCTCATGCTATTGATGTCTACGCAGTATGAAATGAATCAGTTTTTAATAAAAAGAAATGCTTTTTTAATGTGGACCTTTCAGATGTCATTGGGCAGGAGTGGATACAGAGTTTAATAACACTTTGTTAAACTACGAGCTAAAAAAAGATCAGAATCCTTAAAATACTACTTGAGGAAATTAGTTGAGTTTTGACATGTACTTCATAATCTCTTTCATTAAGATTTGTCTTCTAATTAGACTTTAATTTCAGTTTTGCAAACTATGAGTGTGTTTAGAATGACTCTGTGGAAATTGGAGTTTGAACTTTTTCTCACTTTAATGTATTATAAGATGACTAGTATGGCAAATATTGGACATTCTTACATGAGCTTTTTTAACACAGCATTTTATTTACCTGTATGTAGAATTAATTGTATTATGGAACATCAGCTTTGTAGCCAATCCAGAGTTCTGTTTTGTGTTTAAATTAGCTGTCCAGTGCCTCAAGTATGAAGATACCAGATTTTCAACATTTGCTCTGACTAGAGATTCTTTTTCCCCTATAAAAATGTTTTAGATAATGTATTTAAACAGGTAAATATTTTAAGATTTTCAGCATCTACACTTTTTTGCTGAGTTTTAGTAACAGAATAACAAACCAAAATCATATGTTTAACTTATACTGTAATTAATTTAAAGTATCAATTGATTATGCTACACAGAAAAAGGTGATTGCCTCTGATAATTTAACTTTGAGGTACCTGCAGTGTAAGATTTCACCTTCTCTGTGTATGTAACTACATATGATTATTCTGTTGGATATGGTACATCAATAAAATAAATGGAAGTTGTTAAGCATGTACTAAAGTTTCTGGGCATAGCTTAGTTGGTATAGTTGGGTTTTTTTTGCAGGGTCACAGCTTAATACTGGTCTGAACAAATGCTGTGGTCTGTTCCAAAAAGAGGAGCTGGAAAACTGTTTTCTGGATTGCATTGTTTTTCAGGGCAGTGTTGCTGAAGGAAGTAAGGTGAAGACAGGTAGTAGCATTCTCCTGCAATGCCAAGGCCTATGATTGGTGCCAAAGCTGGCTTCTGACTGGTTTTCCTACTCTACCTCTCAACCAGTAAATCAGATGCACATTGAAGGCCACGTTCATCAATGAGCTTAATCTCTTTGCATTGCTTCAGTAGTGTTAGACAGCAGTAAACCCATATTAACTGAGCAGTGTATTCTGGCATTTAACAATTTTTTGGATCACTGCGTCTGTATTCAAAAGTTACAATTAAAGTGGTTTGAGATTATTTATTTGGAACTTTTGCTAATACATAATTGCGTTATCTCTGGCTTTCTTTACCAGTAATGACATACCTGTTTTTTGTTTGATAGGATATTCCAAAATAGATATTTCCAATGAAATGGAATGAGTTTGGACATATATGAGTAACTCTAGCATAAAATAAATTGCTGAAACTTATCTCAGAATCAATTACTTTAAAAATGAAAAACTGAGAGTTGAAATCACAACTTCAGGGTTTTTATTTTTTTTCTACACCGAATTGTGGAAATCTTCAGTTAAGGCGCAAACTCGCTTGCAATTCTTGTAATGTTTCAGAGCTTTGGTGTTTTCAAACATTTTACTTGTGGTATGTAGTTATAGATTTGTCCCTAGAAAATGGAGTAAAAAGACCTTATGTTAGCTTAAATAGCTTAAAGGTAGATTCTTAACTCAAAGTAGATTCAGTTTTGATAACTGTTTGTTAGGAGAAATTGTGAAATCCCCTGCAATGCTTGTCGTGATCAATTAGTGTGTGAAGAGGAAAAAAGCCTC